GGGGAGTTGTGGTATTTAAAGTTTTTTGTATTGTGTGTGTAGAAGTACTTACAATTTGTCTTTATCAAAAAGTAGTCACAAATTATCTTCTCAATTTTCTCAAGATTAGTCTACATCTGCAGTTCTGCACAAGGTATTCTATTTTGGCACGTTAGCTGATTTTCTGTATGATCTGTGCCTTCAATCCATGGTTGGAAGTTAATAGCATAGCCATACATGGCTACTAATGAGCTATTATAGCTTATGTTTCCAGGAGCAAACATGGTTGCAGCATAACTTTATGAGTTACTGTACAAAGATGCCCAGGCTTGTGATATTCTATTATTGGACCTCTTAAATGGGTGATTGTGTTGTACTTTCTTAGCATGGTCTATTATGCAATGCTATAGGTTTCAGTTTTGTGTTCTACTACTTGGGTGTTCCCATCAGTCTTCTTTAGATATATTTCTCATCTGGACATCATAACTGTCTTTCTTCTTGGTGCTTACTCTGCAATTCTGGTGCTAACTCTTTTTTTCCCCTTTCTAGATATCTGAAACGAGGCGTAAATGAAAAGGGTAGAGTTGCAAATGATGTTGAGACTGAGCAGATTCTATTTGAGGATGTTCCAGAAGATTTCCCAGTGCATATTAGTTCTGCTGTTCAAAATCGTGGGTCTATCCCGCTCTTTTGGTCTCAGGAAACTTCACGACTAAATATCAAGCCCGATATTATATGTATGTTCAAGCAAGTTCATGCTCCCTTTGTAAGAATTTAAAACTGCTGTTCGGTTAATTTAGTGTTTGTCATTTAGTGTCAAAGAGGGACCAGACATATGAAGCTACAAGACTTCATTTCGAGAATCTTGCTGTGAGATATGGGAACCCCATCATTATTTTGGATCTGATTAAGGTGAGGGATGCTTTTGTCAGTCTGTTGTTTTCTCTTGTAATAATCTGACAAAAGATCAGAACTATACTGTCATGATGTCCTAAGGGGTAAGTAAAAGCATTTCTTCTTAGGAGCAGAGCGCCTTCTTCCCGAACAACCTGATTACCCCTACCCTAGCTCATTAGGCATGCTAATTTGCTAAAAGAAGGGTGAATAAGTAAGAAAGCATCTCACTACTGTGAAATTCTTTGGCAGACCCAAGAAAAAAGGCCTCGGGAGTCTATCCTTCGCACCGAATTTGCTAATGCAATTGAATACATCAATAAAGATCTGTCTGAGGAGAATCGACTTAGATTTCTCCACTGGGATTTGAACAAGCATTCACGAAGGTATTTGACTTGTTCATTTCTGTTTCTTTAACTTCTTTTTCAAATATCTGATTTGCTATAACTTTTGCTCTTTCTTTTTTCCCCTTTCCAGCAAAGCTACAAATGTCTTGTTTTCTCTGGGAAAAGTGGCTACATATGCATTGAATTTGACTGGTTTCTTCTATTGTCAAGTAACACCAGCCTTAAGATCTGAGGGATGTCTGAAATGGCCCATATTTGAGTAAGTTTCTCATCCCATTTGACAAATCTGCAAGCACTTGTAAGACATAATTTCTATACAAATAACCTGCTTTTATCAGTTTATGTGGTAGCACATATATACAATTGAGTTGATTATTTACATCATGTCCAATTGGTCATTCACATTCCTTATCTTCAGCAAAGCCAAATCTTTCTTATGGTGTTTCATTCTCAATGATGCTTCACCTTATCCCTCTTCTTGCATATTTACTTCTTTTTGGTAGTTATACCTCTATGCAGCAGTCAGAAAACCCATCACTTTTGTATTATTATTTGTCATGGTATTGAATCTTTAGGATTTTGTTTCCTCTTTGGCGTATTGTGCATTAATTATCCTCCTTCGGGTAGTGATCCCCTTTTTTATCCATTCTTAGAGGCTTTTGTAAATTTTATTGAGGAATGAATGTAAATCTTTGCCAAATTGCATCAAAGGGGTGGTAATGGCCGTCGTTTCTTGAACTTCATGTATTTGAATTTTGGATCAGTTATTGGTAGCATACATCCTAACACACACTAATAAATTACCCCAGGAGAAAACCAATATTCTCGGAATTGCTAAAGCACAATAGTTTATGCTGTGTCGGTCATCTCAGTTGATTAGCTGGGTATAATTGTCTTAAGACGGCAATAGGCTGAAACTTTTTGGACATCTCATTTTTGGCATTTGACATATTGGTTGTCATATTTGAAGTGCTAAGTGATCAGCCCATGACTGCTGCAATCTAGACAGGCGAAGGTTCACTAGCCATATGATTGCGCTGCAGCAGGGAAAACTTGTGCTGATTTGATATTGAATTTGTGGAGGAATGCTGCAAAAAGATTTAGGTTTTAGTCCTCATTATTGTCGGATGGCATGATGAAGGGATAGGCTTATACTTGAAGGAATTACTTTGATATACATGAATAATTAGTTAGTTTTGAAATAAACTACTAAGTTGATATAAGAACGAAACATATTGATATTTTAGTTCTTTTTAAAATCTATTTTGTTTTTGTTGAAAAGGTAATATATAAATAGATTTCTTTTTAAAATCTATAGTAATTATTCATCATCAATTAAGATTCTATATATATATTGTTTCTTTGGGATCAGATTTTATCCTATGAGATGGGACAAAGGGAAAGATGTTTTATACATAAGTAGGTCCTAGTGTGGTTGAAAAGCCTAGTTGAATGCGAAGGGCGTAGGGGAAGACTCTTTAGACTATTAGTTGCTGGTTTTAACTTGCTTTCCAACATTTCCTAATGGAGCCCGTGTCATCTATCATTGTGCGTTGATTCTTGTTCCCCAATAGGGGATGTGAATACATCTATTCCTAAATGATGAATACTCAACGTCCGGTACGACTCTTTTCACATATTGCACTCGCTTCTCTGCAGCCACATTCAATTGGCAATAATACAACCGTCTGGATCATTTGCTTCCTCATATAAATCAAACAACAACAACAACATACCAGTATAATCCCACATAGTGGAGTATGGGGAGGGTAGTGTGTACGCAGACCTTACCCCCTACCTTTGTGGAGGTAGAGAGGCTGTTTCCAATAGACTCTCGGCTCAGGCAAGCATAGGTACCACAATAATAACAAGAAACAATACGGGACAATACCAAAAAACCATGTAAAAGCAGAGGAAAAAAAAATCAAATAAGCCTACTACCAACCAAATACGAGAGTACGTACTAACACTACCGGTATGAATAATCTAGACTACCTAACCTACTATCCTAATCTTAGACCTCCACCCCTTCCTATCACGGGTCATGTCCTCGGTTAGCTGTAGCTGCGCCATGTCATGCCTAATCACCTCACCCCAACTCTTTTTTGGCGTACCTCTACCTCTCCTAAGGCCCTCCAATGTCAACCTCTCACACCTCCTTACCGGAGCGTCTGTGCTTCTCCTCCTCACATGTCCAAACCATCTAAGTCATGCTTCCCGCATTTTGTCCTCAATAGGGGCCACACCCACCTTGTCCAGAATAACTTCATTCTGAATCCTATCTAATCTGGTGTGCCCGCACATCCATCTCAACATCCTCATCTCTACTACCTTCATCTTCTGGACGTGAGAGTTCTTGACTGACCAACACTCAGCCCCATACAACATAGCCGGTCTGACCACCGTTCTATAAAACATACCTTTAAGTTTTGGTAGTATCTTCTTGTCACACAAAACACCGGAAGCAAGTCTCAATTTCATCCATGCTGCCCCAATACGATGTGTGACATCTTCATCAATCTCCCCATATTCCTGTATAATAGACCCAAGGTACTTAAAACTCCCCCTCCTAGGGATGACTTGTGAATCCAGCCTCACCTCCCCTTCCACTCCCTGAGTAGCACCACTAAACTTACACTCCAAGTATTCTGTCTTGGTTCTGCTCAGCTTGAAACCTTTAGACTCCAGGTCTATCTCCACACCTTTAACCTCGCGTTAACACCGTCTCGCGTCTCGTCAATCAAAACAATGTTGTCTGCAAATAACATGCACCACGACACCTCTCCTTGGAGGTGGCGAGTCAGTACGTCCATCGTCCATCGTCCATCGTCAGGGCAAACAAAAAAGGGCTGAGTACCGACCCATGATGCAACCCCATCATGACCGGAAAATGGTTCGAGATCCCTCCCACTGTCCTCACACCGGTCTTCGCTCCCTCATACATGTCTTTAATCACCCTAATGTAGGCCACAGGTACCCCTCTAGCCTCCAAACATCTCCACAGAACCTCCCTCGGGACTTTATCGTAATCCTTTTCTAAATCGATGAACACCATATGCTGGTTCCTCTTCCTCTCCCTATATTGTTCCATCAATCTCCTAACAAGGTGAATGGCTTCCGTACTCGAACGCCCGACATAAACCCAAACTGGTTCTCGGAAATAGACACCCTTCTCCTCACCCTTAGCTCCACCACCCTCTCCCACACCTTCATAGTGTGACTAAGCAGCTTAATACCCCGATAGTTGTTGCTTCCTTATATAAATCCTTGCTATATATATTTTCTTGATGCCATCTGTTATCTTTCAAGTCATTGGGTTCACGATAAGAGTCAAAAAGCTCTTCCATATTCAATGATGCAGCATAGAATTTCTGCACTTCTGTGTTTCCCAAAGATGATACGAAAAAATATGCTTCTTATATGTTGATGTGAGCTACCATTTAAAGTAGGTCAATAAAAAATGGATAAATTTGAATTGCATATACATTAGGTTTTCTGTTGTATGCTTGAGCCACTTAGAATTGTATTTAAAAATAGTTGCAATGATGTGGCACAGGAATGCTGCTGCTAGTAATATGGTTCCTTTGAAACATTTTGACCCTGATGTTGAGAAACAATATAATAATGACGTCGGTGACTCAGATAACTCAGAGGGAAAATCTAGTGGATGTAATAATGTGAGTAATGGCTATCCTTCAATGAAACCACCAATGTTCCAAAGGGGGGTGCTAAGGACAAATTGCATAGATTGTCTGGATCGTACTAATGTGGCACAATATGCATATGGATTGGCTGCTTTGGGTCATCAACTCCATGTTTTAGGAGTTACAAATTCAACAAAGATAGACCTTGATGATCCTTTGGCAGAAGAATTAATGGGGTTCTATGAGAGGATGGGTGATACACTTGCTCATCAATATGGTGGCTCTGCAGCTCACAACAAGGTAAAGCTAGTGCTTAGCATTTTCCTTTCTTTTTGTGCAATTTTATGAATCAATAATTTCATTTAGAAAATATAGGTGTCAAAAATATGTATAAGTTGCGAAAATGACACAACCGGAGTCATTCACAATCGTCCATTAAGTTGTCCAACTATCAATTAATATGATTCTTTCCTTACACCAAAATACAGATGAAATAAGAGAACTTTTATGGTTTTCTTCATCATTCTTGCTATTATGAAACAATCTTCCATTTCTCTAATTTTCTTTTTGCAAATTATTAGGTTGGCTAGACTGTGATGAAAAACATTTGCGTTAATGATTAATGAGGTAGATAATTCATAAATCTTTCAGTTATCTTCTTTGAAATTTGAATTGTGGTGGAGTCTGATTATGTTGTCACCTCACTACCATCCTGACTCTACTCCCATGGTAGATAAAAATAGCATAGAAGTTTTTTTAAATAAATAAAAAGAAAAATATCATAGAAGTTATTGTTACAAGCAACTTCCATAATGTCGATTCAGGGGGTGCGTGGGTGGGGAGTTCATGTGTTTGTACATCCAAATTCTGTTTCCTCTTTTGTTTGTTCTCATCCCATTTGCAAATTGAGAAAGGAAAGAACCTTTTGACTTGTAACTAGAACCAGTGACCTAATAGATCTTTTTTTATGTAAATAGAAGATACGATGCAGCAATCAGAGAATGAAACTTAAGAAGAGAGAATGGTAGGGACCCAAAATTTAGTCAATCTTGCCTCATTTTTATTAGCTATTATACGCCTCTTTGATATTAATGGAAACAAAGCCCAGGGCATTCTACACATGTAGGTTTTATCTTTTCTCACCCAATGTTAATAGTTTAAGCTTGGGGTTAGTTGACAACATTGTAATGTGTCATGTAGATATTTTCAGCGAAGAGGGGCCAGTGGAAAGCTGCAATTCAATCGCAGGAGTTCTTTAGAACTCTTCAGAGATATTACAGCAATGCCTACATGGATACAGAAAAACAAAATGCTATTAATGTGTAAGCTCATTTTCTTTCTATTCTTATGTGCCAATGCAGTCTGAGTGAGTGGTCTAGTTTGTTCAAATCCTTTAGGCTTTAAGTTCAACTTCTCTTCTTTCAATATTCTGTTTGCCCACTTGCTCGAAATTTCAGATAATATGAAAAATGGCTGTGGTCTGCACCTTGACATTTTGATGACATTTTATGAGCAGGTTTTTGGGACACTTTCAGCCGCAAGAGGGTGGGCGTGATATATGGGAACTGGACTCCGATCAGCATTACTTTGTGGGTAGGAATGGGGAAAGCTATGCTGGTGACAATGGAAGGTATAATGGTCAAAGCTGTGGTGTCATCCCTTTAACTTTCTTGTTTTTCATAGATTAGATATTTATCATCCAGATTAGGATGAGACAAATATTGTGAAAGTAACTAATGAATCTATTTCATTCCAAAGACTTCAATATTCCGTTGCATTTTTAAGGCTTAATTAATTTACGCTGAGATAATGTGTTACAAAAGAGATGGCAGAAATGCCTCCTAGTCTGACTTGATCTTTTCCTGTAATTGCTGTTTTAAAGTATGTAAAGGTTAACTGTATATTCTTACGGTGATAAACAGGTCGCTCTTCCAAAGATCATTCTCAGATGGGAATATTCTTCATGAAAGTCAATTTCCCATATCAACTCGCAGTATTGGAAAGTGTCTTTCTAAGTCTAACCTGTCTCATCAGTCAAAAGAAGGGAGCAAAGTGCTCTCTGAATCGACACCAGAAATATCAACTTGTGGAAGTGATTTGACATATTCAAGGTACAGCATATTTGATTGAAGGAAGTGTATTCAGTGATGCATCTTTATAATTCTGTGCAATTATGGATCCATAGCATGTTTTGCAATGTATTATCTAGTGACTTGCTAATTTGGACTACTCTCAACATCATTGTGCAATTACGATTTGTTAGTTGTTTCTCTACTTTTTTCCTTTTTTGCTCTTATTTTATATGTGGAGCTCCAATTTTGACCTGAAAATCGTGTCATGTCGTTCCGAGATGGGTTCTCACTTAACCCCATTGTCTTCTCCCCAACAACAACTACACTTCAGTCTCAAACAACTTTAGGGTTGCTTATATGAGTCCTTGTCCATTTAAGCTCAACTCATGTTATTATCATACCAAATAAAATAAAAGCGAAAAAGAAGTTTTACATACAACATATATATATAGTAACAATAATAATATTAGAAGTTCTCTAACAATAATAAAATCTATTCACAACTAATAGATATCATTTGTATGTGAAAAATAAGTTATGTCTTCAACGCGCCTCCTCACGTGCAAGCTTGATTCTTTTTCATTGGTCCAAGCATATGAAAATTCTTTTTTGATAATGAGTGATGGTGAGACTTGGACCCACTACCTCTACTTGCTCTGATACCATGTTGAGTGTGTGATCATCTCATTTAAAAGCTTGAGCTTTTAAATGAGATGGTCACGCACTTAAACACTCTTGGTGTTGGAACATAACTAATAAAACATAAAAAGGCCAAAATTACCCTTTAACTATTCGAAATAGATCACTTTTAGCCTCCATTAAATTTTGGTACTAATTAAGTCCTCGCTGTCTAAATGTTGGACCACTTCTATCCTTATTTTTTAACGGTTGAATCTTAAACCCTAATCCTTGTCTAATTAGATTAATTAGCATAGTTGAAGGGTATTTTGACCCTTTTTCAGAAATTTTAGTACTCTTTTCTTTTTCTCTCTTCCTTCCCCCCTCCCGTGAGATTCTTGCTCCAATGCATGGTAGCAATATTGCGGCAAAATCATCAGACAAAAAGTAAAAGAAAAGTGTCGATTTGCTTCTGTTGGGGGAGATTGAAACCACTTTGTGCTAAGTATCGATTTAGCCGCTATTTGAGGGGTTTTGTTCCAAGTGGGAGTTCAGTGAATTTGAAATTGGAGCTTGAATTATTGAGTGCTGATTCGTGAACTTAAGCCGATATCTGGACTGATATCTTTTTAAATTTCATTCAGAATCCAGTTTCATTCTTTTGGTGCTGATTCGTGAACTTAAGTCTAATTTGAAATTGGAGCTTGAGACCTAATCGCTAAACACTCATTTAGAGTTGGCACGAACAACTGTGAACAACTCTGAAGAAAAATTTTGAAAATCCATTTTGAGCTAACATATTCGGATCTGGGTTCTTTTAAAACCAAAAATGTTTGAAGGTGAAATACGATGGGTATTGCTGATGTGTAATTAGATTCATAGTTATACGCTGATTTGGAGCTTGGGTGTAAAAAAGTGATGAAAATAGAAAACTCACTTTGTGATTTAAAATTCTGGTGCTGGAAACTTACAAGATTGAGGTTGTTTGTTGTTGAAAATTATCAGTGTTACTCATTGGTACTTAAACATGAAGATTGAACTGATTTTGGAGCAGCTTGTGGAAGAATTTTAAAACCAATAAGAGCTTGAAGAAACCAAATGGGGTGTTTAGATTTGAATTTATTTGCTGAGATTGACCCGGGGGGGGGGGG